GTCAGCATTTTGAAAAACCCTAACTTAACTCTGGTGCTGTGTCACGTATAGAAATTTTTTGATATTTGCAACGACAGTAAAAGATTTATATTTTTGATATTTATTTAAATGCCATTTAACAAAGAAAAATCAACCAAAAAAATGTCATAGGTTCGCCATCACTGGTCTAGGGTTTTGGGGCAGCACAGCCGCCATTTACCCAGCACCGACCGCGCCTGGAGCCAGGCGTATTTCACAGGAACTTCCCCTTTGACCCTCCTACAACTCTGGGCTGTGCTGCCACGAGGCCACATTCACAGAGAACGTGGTTGGGACACCAGGAGGTTACTGGTGGGTTACAACGCGGCTGGCAGGCGAGAGGACATCAAATCAAGACTAAACCGCGTGAGGCCCGGTGATGGCACTGCGTATGTGGCAGCCCCTCGCACCATCGCAGGAGCCAGGCCCTGCTGTGACCACCCCAGCTGGCCCGGAGGCCCAGGAGGGAGCACACATGCCCAGGACGTGGCAGTGGGCCTCCTGACACGTGGAACCTGGGGAATCAGACATGAAGACAGGGCCTCCGGGCTCCCAGTCTGCACCACCTCTAAGGTTCCTCGGCCAGAAAGGGACCTGGGAGCGCGGACAGGCATGCTGCTGTCACAGCCACCTGAGCCCGGGGAGACACCTTCCAGGGGCCCTGAGCCCACGGGCCCCAGGCCTCTGCCCCACGAGGAGGGAGAGAAGCCGTGCTGGGGCCGGCACCGCTTCTGCAGGGAGAACGCACTCTGCAAACGGTTTCCACACTAGAATGTTCTTAATAAACACGTGTGGGTTTTTCTGTGTTTTGTTGGGCATAGGAGCTCCTCTCATCAACGGACACTGGTCACCCAGGGAAGGCAAAGTCCGAAGTTCCCCAAACTTCACCCCTGTCACGGCCACAGGACTTCTGCCTGGGGCGGAGCTAACTTTCTGGCCACTGGAGACAGCGTCCTGCCGGCAGGGGCTGCGCAGCCAATGACACTCGGCGCTGATGATGTCATGCGCCTCCTATTGGGGACCGGGCCGCGAATCCTGCCGCAGGAGCCGCTGAAGCTGGGCGGCGAGCCGGAGAGGGAGAAGGGAAGGCAGGGAAGCCAGCAGAACGGCCTCATCCCTCTCTCCAATCCCCCTGAGCGTCCTACCGAAGGGACGAAGGGACGAAGGGACGAAGGGACGGGGCCACCTCCCCTCCCGGACAAGCAAAGCAGAGCAGCCCTGGCCCAGGGGGCAGGCTGGAGAAAGAACACAGGCATTGAGCCTGCCCACAGGCACCAGGGGGCCAGGGGCCAGCACACAGCCAGCGCACCCCCATGTACCTCCCCAAACGGGGACAGGGACAGGGAACAGGACAACACCCTCCTTGGCAACACCCTCCTCCACCCCAGACTCTCTCTGCCTTACCTGCCAGGGGACTGGGTGTCTGTCTGCAGGCTGCCGCCCAGGACCGCCCCGTCTGCTTCGCTGGGCTCTCTGTGGGAGGGAAGGGCAGGTGGGAAGAGCTGTGGGCCGGAGCCCAGGCCCCTCTCCTGCCCCTCGGAGGGCCTGGCCACCTGGGGCTGTGGGACTGACCGGAGGTGGTGGCAGCCAATGTCTTTGAAGAGCTCCAAGTCCCCTACTCTGATGGGGGGAGCCTCTCGGGGAGTCCCTGCAAACCCCTGGAGCCCCCCTTCCTGCCCTGGAGGTCCAGGCCGCCCCTGCCCCCCTCCAGCTTGGCCACGCAGTTTCTCCCCCCACCCCAGCCCACGGCCCAGTCAGGCTCTCACGGTTGGACCCGGTTGGCAAATCGGCGGCGCCAGAGCAGAGCCAAGGTGCTGAGCAGGAGGAGGGTGGTGCACATGGCTCGGCTGCCCCATCCCCTCCCAGGCGGAGTCTGCCAAGGAGGCCAAGATGGCCCCTGCCGGCTCCCAGGCCACTGCTGTGCGTCCTACGCTCCTGCTGTGATGGATTAGGAGGCTCAAGCTGATTACTGGGGTCAGCAGGCCTGACCTTGTGAAGACGATTACCCTCCCTGGGCCCCACTGCCCCCTCCCCTGCCCCCCGCCCCCTCGTGCCAGGGAAATAGACCTCAGTCTATTCTGGCTGTAGACGGACTAGACGTGGGCCTGGCCCTCCAGGGGTGTGTAGTCCAGACCAACGCACTAAGTTCAACAGTCACCATCGTAGAGTGACTAGGCCAGTAACGCACCGGCCGGGCACGCCAGGAGCTGTCGGCACCAGGAAGCTTCAAAGAGGAGCTGGGCTGAAGGAAGGGTGGGCCTCATACTGAAGGCCCTGCCAGGCGCCTGAAATCGAACATTCCAGCAACTGGAAGGTAAGTGGCAGCAGGGCACTGATGTCACAGGGGACGCGGGGGGCGCACCAAGGGAGGAGGAGAGGGGAGGAATAGTAGATGAAGCCGCAGAGACAGGAGGCCAGCGAGTGAAGGCTGGCTAAGTGGTTCCGTTCCTCCCTCCAGGCAGTGCTCCCCCAACGTGTCTCCAGTACAGGCAGGATGTCAGTGTGCGCTCATGAAATAGATCTATGCATCCGCTTATGAATTATATGCTGTGCTACTGTGCAAACATGTCCTGCACCACAGACACACATAAAACTTGTAAAGATTGGGGTAAAAATAGCCCGGTTGGCGTGGCTCAGTGGTTGAGCGTTGACCTATGAACCAGGAGGTCACAGTTTGATTCCTGGTCAAGGGCACATGCCCGGGGTACAGGGTGCGGGGTCCCCACGGCAGGGGGACCTGGATCTGAGAGTGATAAGAAACGGAACCCACACCCTCTCCTCCTCCAAGGCCCCTAGATCAGTGGTTCTCAACCTGTGGGTCGCGACCCCTTTGGGGGTCGAACGACCCTTTCACAGGGGTCGCCTAAGACCATCAGAAAACATATAATTTGTGATTAATCACTATGCTTTAATTATGTTCAATTTGTAACAATGAAATACATCCTGCATATCAGATATTTACATTATAATTCATAACAGTAGCAAAATTACAGTGATGAAGTAGCAACGAAAATAATTTTATGGTTGGAGGTCACCACAACATGAGGGAGGTTGAGCACCACTGCCCTAGATGAAGGTAGATTTTCCTTCCATCGATTGAGATGGAGCAGCGCCCAGAGGCCCCTGCCCATAACTGTCCGGACCCCAGGAAGGAGCCTGAGCCCTGAGGCCGCAGGAGGGCTGCCTACTTTGAAGGGCACGTTTTCAGATAAACATAAAGGCGGGGTGGGAGAGGAGAGCCAGCAGTGGGACCCGAGGGCGTGAAGAGGCAGAGTCACGGGGAGCCTTGGGGAACACTGGGCACCCACGGATGGATGCCCTCACATGGTGCAGAGGAGACGCTACAGTCCGGCCTCGGGCTTCCGCGGGGAGGGAGTCAGTGCTGGGACCTGGCTGCCCCGGCTGCTGGCGGGTGGGACCCCTGGGGCGCTCAGAGGCGCAGTCCCGTCTCCCTGGGCGGAACGTGTCTCCTCCACCCCAGGACCCTCCCGACCACGGGCCTTGGTGGCTGAAATGTCTCCAGCAGCTGGGCCTCCCCACGACTCCCTGACCTCCCAGGTCCGCTGTGCCCAGCCCTGCTGCCTCTCTTGGCACTTGGCTCACCAGGGCCGGGACGCCGGGCGGTGTCTGGCTGTCCCTGCCTGTGTCATACAGGCCACCCAGGACTTCTCTCCGACCACATGGTGTTTACATGGGGGCGGGGGTGCCGGACAGAGGGCCTCTGGCGCTCAAGTTTGACAGTGGTCCCCCATCCCCGAAGTGGGCGATTCCGGTCAGGCACTGGGTCAGGGAGCCAGTCCTCAGCTTC